GCTCTTCCCAAATATCTCAGGTGCTCTAGATATGCTTGCTTGCTTCTCGGAGGGCTGAGTTGCTTCATTTCGTGTCTTCTCTCCTGTGCACCATCACAAATGTCAATTATGTTGTACCTTCAAGAGGTTTAGCTACTGCAAAGGTTTTCATGCGCCAACTGCTTTTGGGATAAAGTATGTTACAAATACTTCAGTAGTCCCGAATAAATGGTCAAATGCAGCTTGTTGGGCAGTCAACTGAACCGCATGCTCAGTGGCGATGGGGCCAACACACATCAGCGTGCACATCTGGCTTTCCAGTTTAAAGCCACATTTCTTTATGCCTCAGCTGAAAAGTTTTGTGCTAAGTTGTGTGAGTTAATTGAACCGGTTTGTCTAGAAGTAACAATACAAATTCTTTCAGATGACCAGACCTCATCGTCAATTCAGGAGCCTCTTGGTAATTGATTTCAATACTAACTTGTAGATATTCTTGCAATAATTTTAGCAATGCCATAAAGACAAGGCTATGTTAGTTATCCCAGAGACTGCAACAGCAAAGAGGGTGCTTGGAGGTGCGAGCGTTCCCAGGGGCGAGGAAAAGAGCAGGCACAGGCTCGCGGATTATCGTATACGCTAATTCTGGGCTTATTCTCTTCACCTCCCTGCGCAAATTAAAACACAGTGTAAAATATTTCAGGGAGTTAAAAGCAGAATTGGGGTATGGTTTTGGCGTAGTCAGTGGGTTTTGTTGCACATGTGAATTTTGGATGTGCACAAGTACCCACTTGCTACACTGAAATTATTCCTGTTTCCAAACTGGGCAAAAAGTGCTTAGTGGTGGCTCTTCCTTTAGTTGCAGAGAGTTGTTTTAATGTTAATTCCTTAAATTTTAGGAGAGTGGATTATTAGTGTACTGGGAAGGCCATGTCAGTAAATGCACTGGATACATCGCATAGCACAAAGGTTTTCAAGCTTTCAAGTCTCCAAACCCATTGCTGTTGCATGCGTTACTGGAGATGTGATATATTATAAGAAACCGATGTTTTGCCTTGATGCTTCATGACCTCCTGTTCTCCCTAACGCTCTCTTTCTTTCTCTCTGGCCTTTTTTGTGTATTCGTTTCTTTTTAGAAAATGAGTGACTTTCTCTCCAGAGAGGATGTGGCTGCAGTGCCAGAGAGGAGCAGTGTTAACACTGGCTTTGCGTGGGAGGGCTCAAAGCAGTCGGTAGCTTTTAGTGAGACCCCAGTGCCACCCGCCTCAGAGCCTTCTCCCAGCTGTGACTTTGCTGCTTCCTCCCTAAGCAGCGAGGAGGAGGAGGCGGCAGCTCCCAGCCTCCCCGCGAGCGAGGAGGACCCCAGATGTGGAAAGGGGGTTTGTGCGGATGCGGAGAAGGACTCGGAGCTCTCTGAGCTGGAGCCCCCCGCCAGCCCTGCCGCACCTCCCCAGCACTCCTGGGGAGGAGAGGAGGAGGAGGCAGAGGATGGCGAAGACAGATTTGCCTTTAGAAAGCTAAATGGCGAGTGTCACGACTCAGATGTTAATAACGGGCTGCCGGCAGTCATTCGCTGCTTCCAGGTAGTGAGCCCCAGCGCCTGCTCCCCCGCACCCCTCGGCTGGCTTTGGAGCGGGAACCAAACACTGCAGCACGCAGATGCCACGGACCCAGAGAGGAGTTGTGTTTGCTTGGCCTGGACTTGTGCTTGGAGCTAATTAGCCGGTTAATCTCCTGCAGTCAGTGCACACAAGCCCCTCTCAATTTATCTTTGCATTAAAGACAAGCCCTTCTCAATTTATCTTTGCATTAAATACAATTGCTGCAGCGCAATGCCCTTTGCCTTTCTTTGATCAAAGCATCCTGTTGCATCCCCCAAAAGGGAAATATTTAGGCTCCAAAGGCATGTAATTTTAGTTCCTTAAGTTTTTTGCCGTTTCCTGCTGTACCAGAGGCTGAGCCTTAGCACAGCAGAGCGATTTGAAGCGCTGTCAAACGTGCTTTCGCATCGTGAACGTGGGCTTTGATGTCCCTTTCTGCTCCCCACCATGGGAGATATTTTTGCCTGCTTCAGTGTTGATATTAATTGCTTATGGTTAAAATAGATGCCCACTCCCCCTGCTAACAATCACGGTGGTATCTATCACGTTTGGGGACGGTGAGCAGAAATCGAGCTCTCTGGGAAAACACTGTGGGTCTGAACTAACTCTGACTTCTTCTGGATAATTATCAGGTGGTGGAACAACTGATTTCTCTTCCCCCCCCCCCCCCCCCCATTTCTCTCTTGAGATGTCATGTTTCTGTTTTGTCTGACATTGATTTAATAAAAGTTAAAGACCTAGGATCCGATGAGGATTTTTTAATAATATAATGTTTCACTTGCAGTCAGGATAAAGCTGCTCAGCTGTGATCAAGTCTTTATTTGCCCAGGGTTTGTGTTAATCTTGACATTGTCATCAGTAGATGAGGGTCGTCTTTTACTGGCAGCTGGCAATGAGCTTCTAGTAATTAGAAAGTTAATAATCAGTGGAGGCAGTTTCTTTGCTGTATTGTGACACACCAGTTAAACCCTTAATGCCTCGCTTGGGCCGACCTGAGGGCACAGTGTTGGGGAAGGTCTGGAGGATTTTTCTGTCTAATCCTCACGTGTGATCTCTGCCCTCTGAGCAGTGTGTCGTACCAGAGGCTTAGAAACCAAGATTTCCAAGCTGACCTTGGTTCCCACAGTGCTTTTATCAGATCAGTGTCAGAACATTTGTCAGCAGCATGGTCTCACAATGTGGAAATGCTAACTGGGTCTTTACGGAGATGTTTTTAACCTTGTCTCATAGCCACCGCTAGTGAAGACACAGACGGTCACCATCTCCGATGTGTCCAGCGCCGTCAAAAGCGAAATTCCCACGAAAGAAGTCCCCATTGTCCACACGGAGACAAAGACCATCACCTATGAAGCTGCACAGGTAAGGTGTGTTCTGATTAATTTTCCAGGGGCTTAATTAAACTCCAGTGTTTTTGTTTCCGAATCCTCTGGATGAGATGGCAGCACCTGCCTTTCTCCAAGCACCTGAGCCTCAGCACAGATGTTAAGCGATGCTGTGGACACTATTTCCAGGTGCATCTGGTATTTTTAGAGGAGCAGTGTTTTTACTGTCCCTGAAGAGTAATTATTTTTTCAAATTGTGCATACAAACAGAATTTATCTTCAGCCACTGGTGGCTTCGAGATACAGATTTGACTGTACAGAGTTAACGCGAGTTAACCTTTTTTCTGCAAGAGGTGCCTTGTCTTGTTTTCCCCAGCTTTTCTTGCTGTTTATGCCTCTTCAGAACTTGGTTTATAAATAATTTGATTGTCCTTTAGGTTTCAACCCTGAAACAGGTGTTGAAAACCAAAAATTTTGTATAAAATGCAACCAGAATGGGTATCATCTGGTGATTGGAAACGAGAAATGTTAGCAGAGTGATACCAACATATGCAGGTATGGTTTCATTGCTGAGGTTAAAATTAATCCTAAATCTAAAATAGGTTTTATTTATGTATTTGAGAATTTGGAGCCTGTGTTCGCTTGGGTTTGTCATAACTGGTTGTTAGAAGCAGCCCGTGCTCTGCTGTTGGAGTGTTGTGACCGGGGGATGTAGGTTCGGGTGTGGGTATCCCATGGAAAATGCTTGTATAATTTGGGATTCCTGAGGAATCCCGTGGCTGCTCAGCATCCTCCCCGATTGCAGGAGCAGAAGGGGCGTTCAGAAACGCTGGCACCGGGCAGTGGTGAGCATCGCCTGTTTCTTGGCGAGTGACTAGGTGAATAGACGAGTTTTGCTCTGGTTACTGCTGTTACTGTTTCTAACCGGGAAATGAAAAGGAAAAGTGTGTCTCCGGGGCTGGGAGAAGTCGGTGTGCGTGCACCAGCTTGTGATGGGCCATGAGATTTCTTCCTGTCTGTGGAAAATGGTCCCACCTTGTGGTAACTCCTGATATCGTTCCACCGCGGTGCTGGGGATGCTGCCCAGCGTTAGTGGTGCACGGTGAGGGAGACACGGGCAGCACGGCCAGGATGAGTCGGCAGGATGACTTATTTTAGGTTTTTTGGCAGACCTTGAAAGGTCGAGTCGTGCAGGATGGGAACCAAGTAACCAGCTATAAAAGAAGTTGTTCCTAGTTCCGCAGGTATCTGGGCTTTGCTTCTGCAGAGTTTAAAGCGAGTGATGTGCAAAGTGTTGTCAGGAGGGAGGAAGGGTGGAAAGTACCTTCTGAATCAGTTTGTGCTCTCCACCTTTGTGAACCTCCGTGGATCCAGGCAGGTGTAATTCGGGATGGGTGTCTGCTTTGGTTTCCCTTCGTGGTCCAAAGCGTGCAGCTTGGCGCGGAGGAGCATGACCGGCATTGCCGTGTCCCCAGATTTGGGTATATCCCAGCCCACCTGCTCTGAGGGGTGTCACAGGTCCTGCCTGGATGATTTTGTGGATCCCTGCATTTCCAGCCTTAAAGTCCATGGGCTTTGTGCTGAACCTTCAGAGACCTGCGGAGTCCTTGTGCAGCTGGCTGCAGCTCAGCTGGCTGCAGATCAGCTCGCTCTGTCCCGTGGTCCACGATGGAGAGGAGTTTCTGTCCTCGGATTGCATCCTGCTCTGTTGATGTGGAGACCCTGCTTCTGTCCCCACTGCCCGCAGAGACTGATGGCCTGTTCTTCTGTCCCACAGACAGATGGTGGCAATGGAGATTTAGACCCTGGCATCCTGCTGACTGCTCAGACCATCACTTCGGAAACCACCAGCAGCACCACCACCACACAGATCACGAAGGTAACAGCATGGGAACATGATAAAACGACAACAACAGCTAAAAGGACAACATGAGAGAGAGATGGGCAGAGTTTAATAGGAAAAAAAGCTGAAACCCCCCTTTTTTTTTTTTTTTTAGAAAATGTGATTAATACCTGAAACAAAGCATGAGGTTCCCAGGTTTGCCTGCATCGAATTAAGACTAGATTATGCATTAATTGCAGTGCAGTCTGTGGACACGGGCTCTGGCTGTCCTGTGGGACAACGGGAAAGAACTGTTCTGTGGGTCAAAGCTCTTCCCTGGCTCAGTTATAAGAAAATGAATATTTGACAGTTTTTCTTTGAGCAGCGGCAGTTTTCCCCCGTGATTCTGATACCGTGGTATGACGGCAGTATTTGGTAATGCTATTTTTGATACCGTCTTTAGGCAGGCAGCCCCAGTGCACTCGAATTCCTTTTCACTTCAAGACTAACAGTAGTTTTTTTCCTTTCGTACTAGACTGTAAAAGGTGGCATTTCAGAGACACGGATTGAAAAGAGGATTGTCATCACGGGAGATGCAGACGTAGACCACGATCAGGTAGGAGCTTGAATGCGTCCAAAAGAGCTTCTCAGAGCTGGTACGAGCTAGACAGGCTGCCTTTCTGAAGACAACTTAACCAGAAAACAACCTAGGGAAATTTTACTGGGGTAGAAATAAAACTTCAAAAATGCTTTAAATAATAAATTCCTCTTTGACAGTACGCAGCTGTATAGCTGGGCCAGCAAAGCTTAATTTTGCTCTGAAACTGGTGTTGGCAGCAAAGTTTTGATTCCAGAATTGTTTTGGACAAATGCAATTTAAAAAAAAAAAAAAAAAAAAAACACACAAAAATGTGAAATAAAAGTTGTCCTTGACATCTGGATGATCTGCATTAATTTTCTAGTAACTTTGAAGTGCTATTGCTGCTGTAACTCAGCACCTGCATTAAATCTCATTCGGTTTATATGAAACCTTTCTGATGAGTCAGCCTCACTGGCCTCTCGCGTGTGTTGGAAGCGATGATTTTTGTCATCAGAGAATTATACTTCGAATTTAATTTTAGTTGCAAGTATCATGGGGCTAGAGAATATTCGTACGACAAGAACTAGTTCATTAATGCCAAAAGAAAATGTCTAAGATGTCTGAAATGTGCTCATCCCACTGGCTGGAAGAATAAACGGGGTTTGCTCAATTGCTCTCATCCACCTTCTACCATGGGGCAGCGGAGAGATGTAGTGCATTCTTAGAAAACAGCTTTTCCTTCCCGAAATAATCTACTACTACCAGAAGTCACCAAACTGCGCAGCTGAAGTGGAATCACTTTTCTTTTTCTCTCCCCAGAGTTAGAAATAGTCTCTTGTGCCCCTGAGGACCCTCGGTGGCGTGCTCTGAAATGTGGTCTCTTCCAGGTCCTAGCGCAGGCGATAAAGACAGCAAAGGAACAGCACCCGGACATGTCGGTGACCAAAGTGGTTGTGCACCAGGAGACCGAGATCGCAGAGGAGTAGCGAGGCTGTGTAAGTAGGGAGACCGTGTACAAGTGAGTGACGGGTGCTGCGTTCCTCGCCCAGGGCAGGGGGCTTGATCTCTGTGCAAGCGAGGTTTGGCTAAATATGGTCAAAGTTTAAGTAAAATTATTATTGTTAGCTGATGAGTCCCGCTCAGGCTGTTCCTATTAAATCATGTATGGCTGATGAAGCAGCCACAAATACAGACTAATCCTGCAGTGGAAATGAGCCAAAAAAGTCTAAAAGAAGCTACATGGCTCATGATGAGGCTGTTTTGCCTTACCAAACACCTTTGATGCACCAGCAGCACACTGAGCTATGGGTTTCGTGTAGACCCCTGCTTGTATCCATGCCAGGGAAGCCCTGAGCTGGACCCCAAGCTCCTGACTTGCCTGGAAAGATCCCTTTTCTGCAGTCATGATGGTTTTGGGAAAGAGCTGCTCGAGGAATCCAGGAGCTCTGCCTGTCCATCAGCGCTGTAAAGCCCATCCTGCCCCACGCTGGTGATTTTGGTGTTGCCGACGTTGGTGCCATGCGCTGCCCTGCGTGTGCCCTGCCTCATCCCGACAAAGCTGGTATTTGCAGAGATTTGGGAGGTGGAACAAGAAGTGGTTAGGCGAGAGGAGAGACAGCATGGTTTAACACAGACATTGTGGTTGAGCTTTCCAACTGTCCAAACCTAAATAAAAATGGCAGAGGTCTCTTAAGGGTTCCTGGACTCTTAAAATACAGTCCTTTGGGGATGGGAGCAGGACGTTGTTTGTGCCAGGCGCCTGGAAGTGGCTCTGAGCCTGAATTCATGCCTGCCATTGATGGTAACTCACCTTCTGATATCAGTTCTCCAGCAGGTTCCTTTCTTTCCCAGAAAGCCGGCTGTTGGTAGCTATAACTTACCGTGTTTCTCTCTTTCTAGGAAGATCCTGCCAGACACAACACCAGGAAAAAGAAACCCAGCAAAACTACCAAGAAACTACCTGGAGCACAAAGACCTCGGATTTACAAGACTTGACACTCAGAGACATTCATATCATTTATTAGGAGTTGCGCTTTGACATTTTACTTGGGATTTTCCAGATTCCACTGGATCCTATTGGATATAGATTTTTTTTTTTTATATATTGTGACAAAAGTATGCCATATTTCTAACTGTACTGAATATTTTTTACAGGTTTTCAATTTTGCATTCCCTCTCACGCATAGCCTCTTCAGATACAGACCCAGACACACCTCGCAGGGCTCAAAGGGTCGCTGTTTTAAGTCGTATTCCCTCCGCCTCGTCAGGGATAACGGAGATAAGCCACATCTGTGCATATTCCGAGTGCGGGATCCGTACACGCCTTCAAAAAGCCATGGGTCCTTCTGCCAGGAGAGTCAGTTTAAAAAGTCAGACTTCAGTTTTGTGCAGCATTTCCGATTGCCTCTTGATTTTTTTTTTTTAGCTCTAGGGAGCTTGAGACTCCGGCCGCGATACCTGCAGAGCTGCTGCCTTCGCTCCGAGTTTCCTCCCCGTTGGGTTTCAGGCCCCTGATGTGTGAACACAGTAGGGTTTTGTGGTGTAGCCTATGCACACATCTTAATAGCTGACTAGATTTAAGGAATACTGGAAGTTGCTTCAAGTATCTTATACTGTGAATTTTAGAGCTTTAAGAGGACTGTGATAGCACCTCGCCTTCCTCCTGTGTGTCTCTGCCGAGTGCTACCTACCTGTTTGTGTTTTCTAGATGCCATTAAATTAAAAAGCCCTCAGAAGTGTGCGTTTAAGATGTTTGGACTCTGAATGCTATTAAGGTAGGCGTATGCAGCATTCACAGTAACTGATTTTTTTTCAGTGTCATAGTTTTTTGCTTGTTTGTGTTCATGATTTTTAAATTAGGGGGGTTTTTTGTAAGTCATGGGTTGGGTTTTTTCCCTCCCTTCACAGTGCTATTTAAAACTAAACATTACCCATGTACCAGAACATATATCCTACTATCATTTAATTTAAAATCCTTTAGACAATCCTTCCTAGGCCTGTAAGCTGTATTTGGAGAGGCTGAACAAGAAATCTTAGGAGGTGTCAGGTGTTGCTGGTTGTGATAGAGCCAAACCACATGGAAAGTGCTGCCACCCCCTCCTCCACACTGGCTCAAGGGTCTGTTCTTCGTTTGGCTTCGTGACCGCCTTGCTGGAATGAAATACCAGGATTAGCGTCTGCATCTTTAGGCTGAGCTTACAGACAACCGGGGCCACCTCCAGCGAGGTGGGGATGACCAGAAAACATCTTTTCTGGGGCTGGATGCGCTTCCCTCCATGGCACCTGGGGCTGAGCTCCTGCTGCTGCTTTCTGAGCTTCATGGAAATGTTTTAATCATGCCCTGGTTTCTCCTTCCAGCATTTAAATTTAAAAAGAAAAAAAAAAAAACCCACAAGCTTTGTAAAGAGTCTGCCCAGACACTTGTGAACACTTTAGTACACTTTGAGGTTGTGATGATTTTTTTTTTTTGTTGTTGTTAAATATATAGTGTGGCACATTGGTAGCTGAGGGCATGGAGTGCTCTGCTGCTGCTCCTCAGTTGAGGATGAGAAGAAAATGGCAATAAAAAAAGCTCTCTGCTATTTTAAATTTGAATAATGTGTTTCAGAAGTCAGTGGATTTAGCTCAGGCTGCAATGACTTGCTGTTTAGCTGCAAACAGCCTTCGAACTACACTGGGGCTAGTGTAGCTTCTCAGATTCAGGTGCAATTTTAATTAAGCTGTCAGTATTGATTGGAGACTATGCTGAAAACGCTGGAGCTGCTGGATTTTTGCTTTCTTCGAGCCTTGCTGGCCATGGGCCCCTCTCAGCCTCTAGCCTTCCCATGCCAGTGGCTGCTGCTCAGGCTGCTCTGGGTGCGCAGTCCCCTCCGGTGATGCTTTGCCTTCCACTGGGTACCAGGCATCCTGCTCTGGGGATTTAGGGATTCCTGGGCTCCACAGCTGTAGTGTAGAGATGAAGTCTTCCTATTCGTGTCTGAACAGCCTCTTCCTTCCTTATTCTGCAGCGCAGAGCCTTCAACAGGTCTGTGTCCCTGCTGTCCTCAACTTAGTTGGGTAATGCTTGCCTTAAAAGCCCATCATGCTGAGCATCCCTCTGGCGATGTCCCTTTTCTAGGAATTTAGCTTTTTGCCGCTCGGTCCTTCCTTCTCACCCTGGAGCAGCTACCTGAGGAGCTAACAGCCATGCCGAGTAGTCATTAAGGGGATTTCTGAGCTTTACCAGACAAAGCCAGCATGATAAATTAACTTTGTCCATAGCACTTAAAGGCACTTGGCCATCACGAGAACGAAGGGGAACGTGGTGCCAGGCGGAAGCTTGGCCCTGGGTGTTCAGTTGGGGTGTCCTGTGCCCTGAGCGCGATGAACGGGACAAAACACCCTGAGCAGGGGATTTCTAGGGTGAGAAACCTGCTAGCACAAGAGGTGGTTCCTTTCCAAAAGGCTGTGCTCACTTGGCTGCATATATCCCTTTTTAAGGGCCATAGACTAGAATAACCCTCTTTCCCCCCACACCCTCCCCCCCCCCCCCCCCGGATTTGGGGTGGCTGTTTCCAGGTTGTTCATTCTCACACCTCCCCCTTCTAAGTTCTTGCTTCTCCTTGAGTATTTTAAACAAGTTATCACCTCGTCTGACCTTTGCCATCACCCTGCTCTCTGACCCCACGGGGGATTTCCAGCCCTGCTGCCCCTCCCCAGCCGACACGGCCGCCTACGTGCAGCGCCCCAGCCCAGGAGCTGGACAGGAGCAGCGGCAGCCTGGGAAGAAGATAAAAGTACGAGCAGAAGAAGCTTCTTCCATCCTCAGCCGGGGCTGCCCGCAGCCCTTCCACCTCCGACGGGTTTTTAAAATCCTTGGCTCTTAGCGTGCTGCGTTATTTCTAGGGACAAACCAGCTAAGTAAGGTCTATTTATATGAATGTTCCCAGCTCTTCCCACTCCACAAATTCACCCAGAGACTGTCTTGATTGTATAATATACATTATATGGAAGCTATTTATATATGAATGAATGTTTTTATAGAAAGGAAGGCAAGGAGCTCATGTTCTCCATTAAACTGGAATGGCAGCTCCGGTTGCCAGATAGCAATCTCTGACCAACACAGATGGGTTAGCAAAGGACTGACTGATTTCTGGTTTTAATAAACTGTGGTTTGCTGATTTTCCTAATTGTACAATTACCTTAAGAGGTGGTAGTGTCCCAGCCTTAGAGATGAAACTTGTAATAAAAAAAAAAAAAAAAAAAATTTAGTTGAGAATATGAAGGAGCTTTGTAAAATTTTTTTAAGGCAATTGTGAATTGTCTAGGCTAGCCGTTTACACTCTTCTTTATAAAAATAAATAGGAACTTTTCAAATTGGCAAATCTTTATAGATCGACTAGTGATGGGAGCTGTTATTTTGGACTTTCATAGTAAATCAAAGGGAAAGTTGCAGTAGCATTTAGACAGACGTAAGTGTTCAGTATTGCTTCTTGTATTGCATTTTTCAATAAATTTTCAAACAAAACTGGCACCCTGGCCCTGAACCCTTTTTTCTTATCCTCACCCTCCTCCAGGTCTCCCTCCCCACCCTGGCTTCGTGGCAATTTGCTTTTTCCGACCTAAGCCAGACCCACCGCGGCCCGGGCAGAGCCGCTGTGCGCCGGGACCACCAGAGCTCTGCCCAGCCCCGCGCCGGGCCCTGCCGCTGGCACCGGCTGCGTTGTCCTGCGCTCTCGGGGGCTTCAGGCGCTAAACAGCTCCCAGCGGGGCCACGTGCGGGACCGAAGCCCCAGAAGGGGCCACGAGGGAGCCCCAGAGTCCAAGTTTTCCCTAAAGCATCATCACTTGATACAAAACCTCCCTTTGAGCTACTGAATTTGAGGTGAGCTCGGGTGAGGGTTTCTGCTCAGCAGCTGCTGCCTCACCCCGAGCAAATGTGATTGAACTGGAGCGGGGGCGATGTCTAACCCAGCTTTTTTTTTTTTTGTCCTGTCTCATATTTTCT